CGGCTGCCCTGGGTCCTAGCGCCGACCGGCTCTCCCTAGCCCCCAGCTCCGCCCACCCACCCGTTCTGCGCCTCCCAGGCTGTTCTGGGTCCTGGCGCCGACCGACAAGCTGGTGCCGCATTCGGGGGGCAGAGAACTTGTAGGTTTCTGGATTTGCAGGAGCTCCCCTCTCTAACTACCCTCTCCCCTCTGGGCTGCGCTCTTGTAAAACTGGAGGGACTCTGTGTTTTAGAGTGTAGTCTGGTCAGATGTATGAGTCCTCAGCTGCTCAGGGCTGCTGCGTCTCCACCCCCCGGACTGGGTCGGGCTAAGAACAGGCCTTACAGAAGTAGAAGCAGTGAGCCCCCGAATTCGAAAACTGAAGGCCACAGAGGGCTGTCAGGTGTGGTCCCGGGAGATTTGGAATTTCCCCAGGGTCTTCCGCAGGTTGCCTCCGGAAGGGTTCAGAAGGGTTTCGAGGGCCGGGGGCGGGAGGCGCTGTCCGGCCCACGATAGTGCTGAAGCGCCACCCCAGCCTGACGCCAGCCTCAATCACTTCCTCGAGGCTGGGGTCCCCTCCGCCGCCACCGTGCGCCGCTCCCACACCGTCCGCTAGGTGGCACCATTGTCCTGACCAGAGGCCGTGGGTCGTGACTCTGGCCACCGGCGGAGGGGCCCCGGGAGGGACAAGGGACAAAGGGAAAGGAGGCCTTTCAAGTGGGGTCCCGGGTTTCAGTTCCCAAACCCCTTCACATCACGTCTTCTCTCCCATCCCTTCACACCAGGGACCTCACCCTTGGGTCTGAAATCGAACCCGAGGTCGCCTGGGCTCCTCCAGAACCTGCACGGGACGGGGCACCTCTGCTCCCTACCCCCGCCTCTACTTCACCTGGGCGCATGCGCTGACCCGGCCCGCATCCAGGGTCCAGGCTGGCGGGATAGGGGCGGGGCCCGCGGGAGGCGGGCCCCCGGCGTTGATTGACAGTCCGACTGCGCGGCCCGGACGGTCCCTCCGCTCCCAATCCGGCGGGAGGGAGGGGGGAGGGGCGGGATTTCCTGCGGGAGGTGCCGAGCCGGCCTTGGAAAAGGAGGAAAAGAGGAGAAAGGGGTTGGGGGGGGCTGTGGGAGCCACCTTCCAGAGTGCCAGAGACCGAGAGGGGTAAGCCGGACCCCCGGCGGGGCGGCGGGAAAAGGTAAGACTGCGGGCCCTGAGCTGGGGGTCAGCACCCTTGAGAACGGGCACAAACTAACTTTTCTTACGGGGTCCGCCGAGGTCCCCATCCCTCTGCGCCTTCCGTCCCCCTCGCCCCCCAGTAGTCCGCCCTCACGCTTAATCCCTCCGGCGCTTGGTTCTCTGGATCCCTCCCGCCGCTTTGTTCCCGGGGTCCGCCTGGACCGGGCTGGGCTGGGGGTTGCGCGGCTCCGGACGGGCATTCCGGGGGGCGGGGGAGCCAGTCCGACCCCAGGCACTGCCAGGGACGCCATCCCCCGTTGTCGGCCGCGGGCGCTGAGCGGGAGTGCCGTCTGGACTGGGCTTGGGACGTTTTGGGGGTGAGGGCCCCAGGCCTGCGTGCGTCTCTTGCCACAGGACTCAGGCTGCAAATTTGCGGGCACCGAGGAACTGACATAACCTTTTCCGCGGTGGAGTTGAGGGTCTGAGCCTGAACCATGCTGGGGGGCCAGGCAGCCTCCGTTTGCCTGCAGTGCCCCAGCTCTTGTCTGGGCTCTGCCAGCTGCTTCCCTCTCCCACATGAGGGGTGCCGATGGGTCAGCAACAGGTGCTATAAAGCCTCTTGATATATCCAGCAGGCAGACACCCCCTGCCAGAAATTGGGGACCACAGGCTCCCCGCTCCACCTTTAGGATTCGTGAAGGGCCCCAAGGCTAAGGCATTCAGCGATTACAGTAAGGCTTAGGCAGGGAGGAGTCTGGGGGCAGGTACATTTCGCAGGGAGTGACCCCTGCCCCCGCTGCCAGTGCCTGACCCTCCCAGCCCCACCTCCTGGCCTGCCAGTTGTCTGTGGGTGTCAGAGCCTGGGGCTCTGGAGAACAGGCTGCTGGCCCGGCCTGCCCTAGTGTCGTGCGCCGCCTGCGCCGCCCCTCCTGCCTGAGGTTGAGGTGCTGCCAGGTGCCCTGGGGCCTCCGTGACTCAGCCTCCCCCTCCCAGAACCCGCCTCCCCCCCTCCAAATACTGCTCTTCAAGCGTGGCAGCTCTTTCCCCCCTTTGAGTGGCTCAGCCCCTCCTTTGACCCTGAAGGGAGGGGACTGGGGGCTCCCTGGAGGGGCTGGACTGGGGGCTCCCTGGAGGCTCTGTCCTGTTATTCTTCTGAACCCCACTGCTGGGACTCTTGCAGGCTCTGGCCCAGCCTTCAGCAGGGGTGCTGCACCTTTTCTGGGCCCCTGAGACCTGCCCGCACCACCGCCTCAGGCCTGAGGAATGTTGGCTGCTCTCTGGGTGGGCACTGGTGCTCCTAAGCCAAGCCGGGAACACTGGCGAGCCCAGCCCCAGCCCATCCCGGAGCCGTCGGAAGCTGCAAGCTGATCTCTGTCCAGATTTCCACGCAACCTCCGCCCCCTCAGAGATCTGCTTTCCTGCTGGTGGGGCAGCTCACGGAGCACCTTTAAGCGTGCGATCCTGTCAGCACCTGACAAGGACCCTGCTGCCTGGGCCACCGGACACGCTCCCCCCGGAGATTCCCGGCCCTCTGGAGGGCCAAGGCATGGCACCGTGACGCCCCACCTGAGGCCCCGCTCCCCACTTCTGTCCTGGACTTCTGAGCCTGGAGTCTAGCCCAGGGACCAGGATGGGTCGTGAGCAGGACCTGATTCTCGCCGTCAAGAATGGAGATGTGACTGGTGTGCAGAAACTGGTGGCTAAGGTCAAGGCGGCAAAGACAAGTGAGTACTTGGTGGGGGAACTGTCCCTCTGAAACAGTCTGGAGCCCCCCAGGTACGGAACAGCTTGGGGGACACTGATTTGGTGACTTGGGATGGGAGGACTATACAAGAAGTGTCTGTGAGGGTGAGCCAGAGAAGGAAGTTGGGTCCCCCCTTGCTGTGTGTCCTTAGGCAAACTACTTAACCTCTCTGGGCCTGCGGCCTTCACCTGTAAAGTAGAAGGGCTGAAGTACATTGAGTCCAGGGCTTTCTGTTTTTTTTTTTAGTTTTCTTTTTGTTTTGAGTGCCTTTTCTGTGCAAGGCTCTGTTCCAAGCACTGGGCCACCGCAGTGAATAAAGCTGACCAAAATGCCTGCCCTCAAGGAGCTGTCTTCTTGCAGGTGGTTTTCCCTGTGTGCTTTGGAGCCACAGGGTTTCTGGCAGTAGGTCAGGAAAGACTGAATAGATGGAGCTCCCCCGCCCCCACCTCGTTTCAACCAGAACATCTCTGCCTCTAGTCTTAGCTTAATGGGGGTGCTGTAAGATAACTAGTTTTCTTTGTGTGTGTGTTTTCCTATAACTTTGCAAAAAGAGAATTCTCCACTTAAAAATTAAGTTCACACCGTAATGCCTTCCTTAAGCCCCTTTCCCCCTGACTAAGCTGTTCCTTGGGGATGTGATCAAAGCTATTTTGCTGGAACCTTCTCTGTGGCCCCCTCTCTTGGGCACCTCTGCATTGAACCCCCCCAAGACGTCAGGCCTTTGGCTTCAGAGTGGGCTTTGGACAGTCCCAGGAGGGCACTGGCTTGTCACCTTGGGTTTCTAGACCCGCAGAGATGGTCCTGCTACCAGAAGGGGGTGGGGTGGGACAGCCCTCGCTCCCTAGAGTGCTGGGGCTCTAGCCCTCAGACAAGTCTTGGCTCTCAGGTCACCTGAAGACACCTTAGTTATCCCCACCCACACCTGGGAGTGAGGGGTGCCAGAAGGAGGGATTTAAGGGTCTGGGAGCCAAGGGCTCCCCCGTGCACACCAGAGCAGGAAGCCCGGAGTGGGCTGCTGGTCTCATTGGCCTGGGGCCTCCAGGTAAGGTACATGGGTAGGGCCTGAAGGCTGGCAGTGGGGACCTCAAAGCCAAGGCTTTTGGGCTCCAGCAATGTCACCTGCTCCCCAAAGGAAATGTCTGGGGGAAAGAAGCCCCCCCAAGAGACTCACATGGAGTATGGCACAGAGTGACAGGGGCCTGGGACTCCTTGTGCCCGGCCAGCCCTCCCGTCCACTGAGAAGGAAGCTGGTACCAAAAATGGAGGTTGTCATGTCACATTCGCAGCCCCTCAGTTTTTGATGCCTTGAACCCCCCATTTCCCTGAGATGAGTGTTGCTATACCATGATCTGCAGGCGTAGAAACTGCGTCAGGGGTTGGTTTGCCCATGTGCCCTGGTCACTGTGTGCGGTTGCTGTGTGGCAGGCCGGCGCCAAGGCTGCCCGCTCTTGGGCTCTGCCCTCAGCTGCCGGTCAAAAGTGCTTTGGGGTCCTGCTGAAAGGACAGGCTCCCCGTTTCCTCCCAGTATCACAGTCGTCGCAGCGCTAGGGACTCTGCTGAAATTAAGCTGCATCTGACATGCCAGAGCAGATCTCAGAAGGGGGACGGGGACCCTGCCCCCTACGGGAGACAAAGGAAGCCGCCCGCTGTCTGCGGGAGGGGTGGCTTCCCGGACCCTCTGCAGACCAGAGGAGAGGTGGCCCCCTCAGCCTCCTCCCTTTGAGGCTGCTCCCTGGGGACCACATTCCCCCCCAACCCAGGTGGCCGTAGGGAGCAGGTGGCCAGGAGGAGAGGGGTGCAGTAGGCCTGGCCTTGCCCTGCCTCTCCTCCATCCCCTCCTCTGGACCTCCTTCTCTGGCCAGAGGAAGCCGAGTGGGCTGGGGTGGCTGAGCTCACATCCTCTCCCCGAGCCTAAATCAGGAGCGACCCTCCCACCTCCAGACAGGCTTGGAAGAGGGTCGGCTGCCGGGGAAGTGACAAGCCCCTGCCAGGAACCCCGACCCGCTGCCAAGGTCCCTAGGTCTCTGGGCTGTCACTCTGGGCCTCTCCCAGCCGCCTTTCCGGCTATTGTTCTAGAAAGAACAGAGCCGCCCAGCCTGGCCCTGCCCCTGTTCCCGTCCTCCTGTCATGTTGTCCTGCCGTGTCCCGAGGGGGTCCGTCCAGGCAGGCCAGACTGCCCAGGCTGGTGGGGGGCTGGGGTGGGATGCGGGACCTTCTGTGTCTCGCCCTTGCTGACCTCCTGTCCCCGCCGGGGCTTAGAGAGCTCCCCTGGCTGACCCAGGTCACACGGCCAGTGAGAAGGGAGCAAGAATTGGAACTGTGCACTTCCTGCTTCGAGAACCCACTGTTCTTTCCACTGCCCTGAAGTGACAAGGACTTTCCAGAGGGGCTAGAGGAAGACGGGGGGCCCGTGCTCCCGCCCAGTGGCCCACCGTCTCCGCTCTCCATCACGCTCACTCTGTGGCCCTGTTTACCTCTCCAGGGGAGCGGACTCCGCACAGCCCAAAATGTCGCTGTCGCCTCCCTCCCCATCCTCGGTCCCTCCCTGTTGGAATGGGGCCTCCCTTGCTGGGGGATTCCGGGGCCCACCAGGGCCTGGGGGGCAGGCCTGGACCAGTTGGCTTGGCGCCCTGCCCAGCCTGGGTTAAGCCGAGGCCTCCTCCTCCCGGGCAGGGTGGGTTACCGCAGGAGGCGGCGCTGCCTGCCCCTCTGCGCTGCCCGTGGACGCCTGCCTCGGCCATCGCGGGCTCCGCTGTGGGGCAGAAAGCCTGTCCCCGGCCCAGCAGGGGTGGGGGGAGGGGAGCAGCATCCAGCTCCTCTGCGCCCCTCAGCAGGGCGCCCCCACCCTGGCGAGGGCATCCCTATAGAGCCTGCGGAGCAGCAGCAGCAGCCCCCGACAGGCTGTGGGGTCCGCTTTGCTGAGAGCGGCAGCTGGGGGCCATGGCCGTGGGGAAGAAGGCCCTTGTCCAGCTCCCCTCTGCCCGCCAGCATGGGCGAGGCCTGTACCCACCGCCTGGGGAGCAGGTCTGTGATCTGCCACGTCCCAGACGAGGGTCCCAAGGGCGTGGCCCAGCCGGCAGCCGGGCGCCGTGTCAGGGCCCTCTCTCCCACCGCACTCCACTCGGGGTGTCGTGGCTCTGGCCCCGTGGCCCGAGTCCAGCCTGGTGTCTGCCCTTCACGCTGCAGTACCTGGAGCCGCGTTCCTTTGCTCCCAGCCCCCGCCCAGGGGGACGAGACTCCTCGCTCCGCCCGGCCCGGCGTTCAGGCAGGAATGCGAACCATGTGCTCGCGGGGTGTCCACTGAGCGCCCGCGTGCCAGTGCCCCCTCCCTGCCCTTGCTGGCTGTATAAGCAAGCTGGGCCGGCACCCTGTGGTGGTTCTGGATCTGGCGGGCCGGCGGGCCCGGCTGGGAGCCACAGGACAGGAAGGCTGACGGCCATGGGGCAGGTGCTGGCCTGCACACCGAGAGGTCAGCTGGGGGACAGGGCACTGGGTGGGGGTACAGTGAAGTGGGTCCCCTGAGGGTGCCCTGATACCTCCTGCTCTCACCCTCAGAGCTCCTCGGCTCCACAAAGAGACTCAACGTCAACTACCAGGATGCTGACGGGTGAGTGGGCCCCAGCGGGGAAGAGCTGTGGGCTGCAGGATGCGGGGTGGGGGGGTTGTTGCTGGGGGTGCCTGTGCCTGCCGGGAGGGGCGGGAGGGTCCCTCGCCTGCGGAGCTACCCCTGAGCAAGTGAGGGGCCCGGGTGCCTCTCTGAGGGGCCTCCTTGGGTCAGATTCCTGCTGGGCCCCCTTTTCTCCCTGGAGGGTAGGAGCCCGAGGGCTCCTGCTCCCACGGCCCCCTCCCCTGGCCGGCCGGGGGGAGGCCAGACAAACAGGCCTCTCAGCCCAGACACTGAGCCCTTTCATGCTGCGCGCCGCCCTCGCTCCCACGGCAGGCCGGTGGGGCGGGGGCGGGGGCGCAGCGAGCAGGCAGCTCATTCCTGCCAGCACCCAGGATGGGTCCGGGGCGGGAGACCAGGACTTGGGGGTGGGTGGCTCGCTGACACCCCCACCTTGTGTACCCCTACACCAGCTTCTCTGCTCTCCACCATGCTGCCTTGGGGGGCAGCCTGGAGCTCATAGCTTTGCTGCTGGAGGCGCAGGCCACTGTAGACATCAAGGACAGCAATGGTGAGACCCCTGTGTGCCCCCCCCACCTAACCCCGGGCCAGCGCTCACGCCTGTTGCATTGAGGTGCTACCCCAGAGGTCGCCCACGGCTCCCCGGGCTGGCAAATGTTTCACCTCTCAGTGTCTCCCGGGTCGTGGGTGGTGCTGACGTCTACTTCCCAGCTGAGGAGGTTCAAGCTCAGAGAGGTTGTGTGACACCCCGAGGTCGCCAGGTCACCCACGGTGGGCACAGCAAGATTCTGGCCTCCGCCCTGCACTCTTGACCTCTCCCTGGCCAAACGTCTCCAAGCCAGCATGGCTTCCGCTCAGCCTGTCTCTGGGCCAGCGTCGGTGACGAGCCTGCTCGGGCCTCCCGGACCCATGCCGGCCCGGGCCGCCCTCGCAAGCCCCCTTCCTCCCACCAGGCATGCGCCCGCTGCACTACGCCGCCTGGCAGGGCCGGCTGGAGCCCGTGAGGCTGCTGCTGCGGGCCTCTGCGGCCGTGAACGCCGCCTCGCTGGACGGGCAGATCCCGCTGCACCTGGCCGCCCAGTACGGGCACTATGAGGTGGTACGTGAGCAGGGCCGCGGGGTGGGCTGCACGGGCCCCGGCTCCTGCCCAGCCGGACCCTCACTCAGCTCCCCACCCCAGTCAGAAATGCTCCTGCAGCATCAGTCCAACCCCTGCCTGGTCAACAAGGCCAAGAAGACACCCCTGGACCTGGCCTGCGAGTTCGGGCGGCTCAAGGTGAGGGTGCAGCGTGGGGGTGCGGGGCGTCGGGCGCCCGAGGGCCTCGGAGGAGGCTCTAGCTGGGCGCTGCTTGCTGCAGGTGGCCCAGCTGCTACTGAACAGCCACCTGTGTGTGGCGCTGCTGGAGGGCGAGGCCAAGGACCCGTGTGACCCCAACTACACCACGCCCCTGCACTTGGCTGCCAAGAACGGCCACCGAGAGGTCATCAGGTACCCGCCCGCCCCCTTCCTCAGCCCTTCCTGTGAGGCCAGCAGTGTCCTTGGCCGCCCTGCCCTGCTGCCCTCGGCACCCTGGCTCTGGGTCCATCTCCTAGCCCCCCCGCCCCTCCCCCCCCCCACTGACTCACCCTCCCGCCACAGACAGCTCCTGAGGGCCGGGATCGAGATCAACCGCCAGACCAAGACGGGCACGGCGCTCCACGAGGCCGCGCTGTACGGCAAGACCGAGGTGGTGCGGCTGCTGCTGGAGGTGGGTGCAGGCAGGTGTGGGCAGCGCCAGGGCCGCGTCAGCTGGGGGCCGGGCGGGGGGGTCCCCCTCCACATGGTGTGCATGGGTGGTTGCCACGCAGCAGGAGAGCAGATTGATCCGGTTCCAGCCAGACCCTTACTGCCGAGTGACCTTGAGCAGGTCTCTCACCCACCTCTGTGTTTCTACTTCCTTGTAAAATTGGAAAACACTGCCCACCTCCTGGCTCGGGCTGAGGTCGGGGGGGGTGGGCACTGTGCTCAGTGCGTGCCCGGCTGTGCTCTGTCCCCAGGGCGGAGTGGACGTCAACATTCGGAATACCTATAACCAGACGGCGCTGGACATCGTCAATCAGTTCACCACCTCCCAGGCCAGCCGGGAAATCAAGCAGCTGCTGCGGGGTGAGTGTGCGGTGCCGAGAGCGTCCGAGCGGGCCGGGACGTGGGCAGCAGAGGTCCTGGGAGCAGGGGCACACGGGGGTTGCGGGCTGGTGCGCGTCACGAAGGGACGCGAGAGGTGGGAATGCAGCTGGGACCCCCAGATGATGCCTGCCCTCCCCTCCCCTTCTGTCAGAGGCCTCGGGGATCCTGAAGGTCCGAGCACTCAAGGATTTCTGGAACCTCCATGATCCCACTGCCCTCAATGTGCGGGCAGGCGACGTCATCACGGTGAGGACCTGGTGCAGGTGACATAGATGATGCTGTCACTGACCTGGGCAGCCACTGTGGGTCAGTTTGCGTGCTGAAGTCTTTAGGTGAGACACTACCTGATTGAGTTTTTCCCAAATCCAGGTAAGGTAAGCCCTATACCATTTCCTGTTTCAGAGGTGACAGAGTTGAGGCCTAGTGAAGTTCAAGGTCGCAGCCAACAGTGGGCTGGGATCTGAAGCAGTCTGACTGGGGCTGGCATTTGTAAGCCCTGGAGGCCCCTGGGGAACTAGGCTGGATGTGGGGGTGGGGTCAGAGCTGTGGGCTAACCTAGGCATCAGCGCCAACTTCTTGGGGGCGGGAGAAGAACTGGAGGGGAGCTGGCTGCCTGCCCTGGCTTAGGGCGGGGAGTGACCACCTCCCCCATCTGCCGCAGGTGTTAGAGCAGCATCCTGATGGCCGCTGGAAGGGACACATTCACGAGAGCCAGAGGGGCACAGACCGGGTGGGCTACTTCCCCCCAGGCATCGTTGAGGTGGTCAGCAAGCGGGTGGGCATCCCCACGCCGCGCCTCCCCTCTGCACCAGGCCCCCTGCGCCCAGGCTTCTCCCGGACGCCGCAGCCCCCCGCTGATGATCCCCTGCACCCTCTTGCCTATGGGCAGCTCCCACGGGGGGGCCTCAGCCCAGATAGCCCAGGTAATTCCTCCCGGAGCGGCAGCCTGGGGGTGGCGTCTGGCTTGGCAGGCTGCCAGTCAGCTGTTGGCAGGACCGCCCTGGCCTCTAACCTCTTTGCTTCTGGCCCTGTAGCAGGTGACAGGAATAGTGTGGGCAGCGAGGGCAGTGTGGGCAGCATCCGCAGTGCCGGCAGTGGGCAGAGCTCTGAGGGCACCAACGGCCACGGCACCGGCCTCCTTATTGAGAATGCCCAGGTAGGCGGGCGGGGGTGCGGGGACCGGGCAGGGGCCTCCCGTGCTGCCAGTCCCACCACAGCCAGCTCTTTCCCTCTCTGCAGCCTCTGCCCTCGGCGGGAGACGACCCGGTGCTGCCGGGACTGCACCCCCCGCCCCTGGCAGGTAGGAAGGGTGGAGGGGACCTGGCTGGCGTGGGGGGGAGCTGAGGGTCTGACCCTTCTTTGTCCTGCTGCCTCTGATCCCACTTCTCTCCCTCCTTAAAGACAGCTCGAGCCACCGCCCCCTGGCCAACTACCGCTCCGGGGAGCAGCCTTTCACCCAGGACGTGAGGCCAGAGCAGCTGCTGGAGGGGAAGGTGTGTCGCGGGGAGTGGGCTTCGGGTCGCGCGGGGAGGGGGCCTCGGGCCGCCGCAAGGGCTGGGGCAGCCGGCCGCCGGTCCCGCCGTCTGGCCAACCTCCACCCTCCCTGTGCCGCAGGACGCTCAGGCCATTCACAACTGGCTGAGCGAGTTCCAGCTGGAGGGCTACACCGCCCACTTCCTGCAGGCTGGTTACGATGTGCCCACCATCAGCCGCATGACCCCTGAGGTAGGGCTGCGCGGGAGGGCAGCGGAGGGCCCGGCGGCAGGGCAGGGGACCTGAAGGCCCGCCTGTGTGTGGCAGGACCTGACAGCCATCGGGGTGACCAAGCCGGGGCACAGGAAGAAGATCGCCTCCGAGATCGCGCAGCTCAGCATTGCCGAGTGGCTGCCCAACTACATCCCGGTGAGTGGGTGGCCGGCCGGGAGCCCCGCTCGGTGCCGCCTCCCGCTGGGGCCGAGGCTGCGGGCAGGCTCCGACCGAGGCGCTCTTGCAGGCGGACCTGCTGGAGTGGCTGTGTGCGCTGGGGCTGCCTCAGTACCACAAGCAGCTTGTGAGCGGTGGCTACGACTCCATGGGGCTGGTGGCCGACCTCACCTGGGAGGAGCTGCAGGAGATCGGCGTCAATAAGCTGGGTGAGGGCTGGCGCCGGGCCCCCGCGAGCCTCTGAGGGCACCAGAGTGTTTCCAGGGTGCAGGCCGAAAAGAAAGAATGGGGACTGGGAGGGATTAGGTTCCTGCCCAGCCCAGCCAACCCTGCCCTCTCTGTCCACTCCCTCAGGTCATCAGAAGAAGCTTATGCTAGGGGTGAAGAGGCTGGCAGAGCTTCGGCGAGGCCTGCTGCAGGGGGAGGCCCCCGGTGAAGGTGGCCGCCGGCTGGCCAGGGGCCCGGAACTGATGGCCATCGAGGGGCTGGAGAATGGGGACGGTCCCCCTGTGGCTGGCCCACGACTCCTCACCTTCCAGGGCAGCGAGCTGAGCCCAGAACTGCAGGCGGCCATGGCGGGGGGGGGCCCTGAGCCGCTCCCTCTGCCCCCTGCCCGATCCCCCAGCCAGGAGAGCATTGGCGCGCGCTCACGAGGGTCTGGGCACTCACAGGAACAGCCTGCTGCGCAGCCCAGTGGGGGGGACCCCAGCACCCCCCAGGAGAGGAATCTTCCGGAAGGCACAGAGCGGCCCCCTAAGCTTTGCTCCCCACTTCCCAGCCAAGGGGCCCCCCCTTATGTTTTTATGTACCCCCAGGGCTCACCCTCCAGCTCAGCCCCAGGGCCCCCTCCTGGTGCACCCCGAGCCTTCTCCTACTTGGCTGGGTCCCCTGCTGCTCCTCCAGACCCGCCTCGGCCCAAGCGCCGGTCCCACAGCCTGAGCCGCCCTGGCCCAGCCGAGGGGGAAGCAGAGGGCGAGGCCGAAGGGCCGGCAGGCAGCGCCCTGGGCAGTTACGCCACCCTCACTCGGAGACCGGGACGCAGCGCCCTCGCCCGGACCAGCCCCAGCCCGACCCCAACCCGAGGGGCTCCGCGCAGCCAGTCCTTTGCCCTCCGGGCTCGACGCAAAGGGCCCCCACCCCCACCCCCCAAGCGCCTCAGCTCCGTCTCCGGCCCCACCCCAGAGCCTCCACCCCTGGATGCCAGCCCTGGGCCCAGAGAGGGGGCTTCGGGGCCCAGAAGGCGAACACTGAGTGAGCCAGCCGGCCCGTCAGAGCCCCCAGGCCCAGCGGCCCCCACCGGCCCTGCGTCAGACACAGAGGAGGAGGAACCAGGGCCTGAGGGGACAGCCCCCTCTCGGGGCAGCTCAGGGGAGGGGCTGCCGTTTGCAGAGGAGGGGAACCTGACTATCAAACAGCGGCCCAAGCCAGCGGGCCCCCCGCCCCGAGAGACGCCTGTGCCCGCCGGCCTCGACTTCAACCTCACAGAGTCCGACACCGTTAAGAGGAGGCCCAAGTGCCGGGAGAGGGAACCGCTGCAGACGGCACTTCTGGCCTTTGGAGTAGCCGGTGCTGCCCCTGGCCCCCCTGCTCCCCCCTCCTCCCAGGCCCTCAGCGAGCCCCCCTTGGCTCCCAGCCTGCCCCAGCCTGACCCCAGCGGGCCTCCAACTCCAAGAGCCCCAGCCCCCGTTGCCCCCAGCCCTTCGAGCCAAGCCCCGTTGCCCCCTTGTCCTGGGCCAGCTCCGGAAAACTCAGCAGGCAGCCGGCGGCATGGGGACACCGAGGCCCCGGCTGCCCCCGCTGCCCTTGTCAAGGTGCCCGGAACAGGTGAGGCGGGGCCCATGGGAGGGCCGTGTCGGCGGGTGGACGTCCAGCCCCGCTGCTTCACCAGCCGGCCTCTGTCACTGCAGGAACCGCCCCGAAGCCTGTGTCTGTGGCCTGCACCCAGCTGGCGTTTTCTGGCCCTAAGCTGGCTCCCCGGCTGGGCCCCCGCCCGGTGCCCCCTCCGAGGCCAGAGAGCACCGGGGCCGCAGGCTCTGGCCTGGCACAGCAGAGACTGGAGCAGACCAGCTCCTCCCTGGCAGCCGCTCTGAGAGCCGCAGAGAAGCGCATCGGCACCGAGGAGCCAGAAGGGTGAGGGGTGCCGCCGGGTGCTGGCAGTGGGGAGATCGCCATGGTGTAGACGCATTGCCTTCCCGGTCCTCTTCCCGGGGGTCCTGGGAATGTTGGGGGGCATGCCACAGGCAAGGCTTCAGGCTGGGGAGGCCCTGTACAAATGGGAGCACCCAGACTCGAGTCACACAGTCTCCCGCGGGGCACCACAGGGCAGTCACTCCCCCCAGCGGCTGCCGTGGTGGCCCCTCTGGCCCGCCCGGGAGGCTGTAGGAACTACGGTGCAGGGGCCGTGGCGCAAGCGGGCGGCTGACCCGGCCCCGTCTTCCTCTGCAGCGCCCCAGGCACCTCGACCAAGCACATCCTGGATGACATCAGCACCATGTTCGACGCCCTTGCTGACCAGCTGGACGCCATGCTGGACTGAGCAGTGCCCACGGTGCTGCAGCGTCCACTGCTTTGCCCAGCACAAAAGACAGCCCGGGCGCAGGCCAGGGGCGGGCGCCGTGTGCTCAGGGAGCGGCCCGCGAGGGCCAGGGGCTTGTCCGAGCCTGCCATCTCGGCAGAGCCCGGTGTAATCTGACCAGCCAGCCCTGCCCCTGGACAGGGGCCTGGCAAGAACTTCCTCCGCAGGGAGAAGGCGGTTGCGTCCGGAGCGCATTCTCTGGCCCCTGCCCCGCCTCGAGCCTCTGTGCCAAGGTGCCGTTGCCACCGCTTTCCTGGGGCTCTGACGGCGGCAGGTGTGGCGGGCCCGGCCAGGTGTACATAGGGCGTGTAAATAAGCCACCGGAGGCCCGCCGGGGGCTCTGGCGGCATCGCCCAGGCCAGCCCCTGCTCCTGCCCGGCCCCCTCTGGGAGGCAGAGCTGGAAGGGCGGGGGCACTATGAAGAGACCCCGAAGTCCAAGCTTTTTCAACTGTAAATGTTATTTTTTAAGCAGAGAGAAATGCATATATTTTAAATGGAATTTATTCTATCTATAACTGCCTGAAAGGATGGAGTGGGGGAGGGCTTGGGGTCGCCCCAAGTGCCCACTGCCAGCTGGGGGGTGGAAGCCTGACCGCGTGGGCCCAGGCCCCAGCTCTGCAGCCTTAACCTCTCCCCCGACTAACACAATGAACGTGTCATCGCACGAGCAGCTGTGTGTCTGGGTCTGTGCCCTGACCGCTGGGCCGCGCCGAGCACACCCCGATGTGCAGGAGGAGGCCCTGGGTGTGCCCCGCCCCCACCGCCTCAGCTTTGGGGCTCCCTCCCTGGCTGAAGCTTCAGGGACCAGTCACAGGTTTTTCTTAAGCAATTTATGAGTTTTAATACAAACCAGTCTACATTCATTCCTAGAAGGCTCATTTCCAGTAAAAAATACACACCAGTAAAAACATTCTCACAGGAGAGACAGGGCAGGGTCAGAGGGGCCCGGGCTTGTCCCGTGACTGACCCTTGCGGCTCGCCCGGGCGGGCACAGGAGGCGGCTCCAGGCCCCGCGAGAGGCTCTTGCCTGCTTTGGGTGCCCCAGAGGGAGGGGGGTGCCTGGCCACAACCTGGCCCCTGCCCGGGCAAGGAGGGGGTGGGGCGGTGCAGCCAGGAGGCCGCGGCACCCCTTAGCGGTAGCCACCTGAGGGTACAACCTCCCACAGCTGCTGCCATCCCCCTTGCCAAAAGCTGAGGCCCTGCCCCCACTCACAGCTGTGCCCCAAAGAGCAGAGGCCACCGGCTTAGAGGACCCCGAAAGGGGCACACGCACTGGTGGGAGGGGTCGAGGACTTCAACTGCGCTCACCAGGTCACACATTCGAGCGGGCCCTCAGGTCCGGAGGCGGCCCGCAGTCCTGGGCCCCGGCTCAGCACCGCCCTGCAGGCCCCAGGGCCCTGTGTGACAGATGACAGCCCCCAGGACCGGGGCCTCCAGTGCCGCGGGGTGCCGTGGGTTAACCCTGAAACATTTGTGATGCCACCCCCCATACCCGGAATGGATCTGCTTGAGCCCCAGGGGCCAGGCGACTGGCCTCTGGCCGAGGCTCAGAAGGGAGAGTTCATGCCCAGCTTCGTTTCAAACTGCAGCTTCTGTCGCTTCTGGTAGCGGACCCGGACCCTGGGGGAAAGCAGGGTCCAGGTCAGCACAGGCAAACTCCAGAGCAGGGGACAGGGCAGGATGCTAGAAGAGGACGGGGGCCCAGGAGGCGGCAGGGCGGGGAGGAGCCCAGCTCACCGAATCTCGTGCAGCTTCACGATCTCGTTGGTGACCACCACGAGGACCAGCGAGAGGCAGCCCAGCAGCCACGTCAGCAGCGGCACGTCCTCCAGGCCAAAGTGCAGGCGGCTGGCCCCGTGGGTCCACAGCCGCAGGTCCACCACCGTCTGCACCACCTGCCCCAGCAGCCTGCCGAAGGACCCATTCAGCCTCTGGCCCACACCCTCATAGCAGCCCCCCACCCCTCCTGGCGGTACTCACACCGCGGGCACCGTCAAGGCCCACCAGAGGTTCGTCAGCGGGCTCTTTCTCCACAGGGGTTTGGTGCGGTGCACGTGGGTGATAGAAATAAAGACTGGAGAAAATGGTGTGGAGGAGGGTCAGTCTTCCCACGGCCCAGCCTGGTCCCCAGGCACCCACGGCCCCTCCCGGGGGTCCCTCACCGGTGTGAAGGACGATCAGGGCGGCGGCGAGCTTCTGGGCCGTCAGCAGCCCGTTGGCGAAGTCGTCAGACCAGGCGGGAGCCGTGTTGGCGTGGCTGCGGACGAAGCAGCAGCGCTCAGCCCTGCACCCGGCCGGGAGAGGGGACGGGGGGCGGGGGGGTCACCTGTGAACCATGATGGAGGAGCAGTTGGTGAGGTTGCGGGCCCGTGCGCTGTCGCAGAAGCTCTGCAGCGTGAAGCCAAAGCAGATGAGGCAGGAGCCGATGGTGAGGCTGAACTTGAGCAGGAAGCAGAGCAGGAAGTAGTGCTGCGTCTGGGGGGAGAGGGGTCTCTCCGCACCCAGCCACTTCCAGGTCAAACGGCTGCCTGGGAAGCTGCGGGGAAGGGGGTCGGGGCAGGCCCCGCCCCTAGCCAGGATCTCCCCAGCTTGGTACCACCACCTCCTGCTTTGGTTAGGGGACGTTCTGGCAGGACCGCCTTGGGTCAGCCCCAGGCACTCACGGCGGGTGAGGGCACTCAGGGCTCCCGGGCTCCGCACGGCTTACCTTCTTGGGGATAGATTGAAGGTTCTTCCCGGTCGCCATAGACATGATGGAGCTGTGGGGCGGCTTCCCCAGCAGAGAGATGCTGAAAAGCAGAGACCCGGTGAAGTTAGCGCTGGTGACCCCGACCCCATGCGGGAAGCCCGGCTTGAGTCTTGGGAGCAGACGGGGAGGCAAAGGGACACCCCACTGCCTCCTTGCCAGAGGGGGGGTGCGCCAGCAGAGCTGGGTCCGTGCGGTGCGAGTGACCTCCAGAGGCCGGCTGGCGGCTCTCACCTGAGGAGAGGGTAGCAGAAGCAGGACAGCCACAGGATGTCGGTGGTGCTCAGGAGCGGGGGCAGCTGGACCAGGCAGGAGAGGAACTGCACGGAGAGGAGCCAGGAGCCAGGCGTCAGCCCTGGCCAGCTGTCGTCCAGCAGCCCTGGGCACCCCTCTGCTGTGAGGGCCGCGTTCTAGCTGAGGGGCTGGCCCAAGGCGGGGCTATCCTGCCAGTGGGGTCATTACCAGAAGTCTGGGGGCCCCGGACTGTCTGCAGTCTCCCAGCCTCCAACCAGCACCTGGCCTGGATGCGGCGGGCGTGGGGGCAGCGACTGAAGGGGCCTTCTCACCTGGATGACCACGAGAGTCAGCTGGCACTGCAGCAGGAAGAGGAAGCACTTGCGAATGCCATAGGTGGCGTGCCGAGCCTAGGGACCCAGAGGGACAGTTTGTGGCCTCTCTTAGGCCTTACAAGCTTCAGCCAAGAGCCAGATGCCCCGGATGCTTCTGCTAGGGAGGAGTGGAGGGAGCTAAACTGCCAGGGAGACCTGGCAGTGTCCAGCCCTTGGACACCCAGATGGGCCCTGTGTCATGACGGCCCACCCCGGCCACCCGGCAGGCCCTGCGCCCGGCCCCTGCCCCAGCGCAGCCCCACCTGCTCGATGAGCCGGATGATGCTGATGGTCTCTTCCTGGCGGAAGGTCAGGGAGCAGGGCAGGCTGTTGAGCTGCCCTGAGAGCTGCAGAGGCGAAAGGCCGTCCGAGGCCTGGGCCATGCTGGTGCTGGTGGCGTAGCCAAAGGTCTCCCAGGAGCAGCGGGATGGGTACAGGGGGTCCAGGGCGATGCTGCTCAGTGGGGGCAGGGGAGTCAGACCATCAGCTGTTCCCGCAAAAACCCCTGCTCCCTCGGGGCTGAGCGGGCACCTGCTGCCTCTTCCTCACTATTCCCACGTCCCGGGGCCCCAGCCAGGGCAAAGCAGCACGGACAGTGCCACAACCCCATGTGCAGCCGAGCCTGGGTGTCTGGAAGGGAGAGCTGACCTGATATCGCTCTGCAGGAAAAGGCAGCTGTTCCGCAGGTTGGCAGAGCTGCCCAGGCAGCACGTCACCTCCCCGTACTCCTGCATGATCTTGATCATCTCGCACATGGCTGGCGGACAGGGTGGGGGGCGAAGCTGTGTAGGGCACTGGCCAGAGACCCAAGGACAAGAGGACAGGAGGCACTGGGAAGCACCCCACCCCAGCGCTGGGGATGGCACCGAGACCGGCCCTTCTGAGGCCACAGCCACAGCTCTGCCCTCTGCACGCTCAGGCTCACCCAGGCCCGGCTCCTCGGCTCCCTGAATGGGAGACGGAACTTTCCCTCCCGCGCCTACAGGGTGCCCAGGCCCTGGGGGCGCTTAGCAGGAGGGCAGGCTGCCTAAGCAGCCGCGGTCCCAGGACTCACTCTCAGGGGTACAGTCGGTGAAGAGGGGTACCAGCAGGGGCACGTTGTCGATGTTTTGCAGATGGGGCCGCACCTGGTGGATGCCCCGGGGCAGCTTGGCCTGCAGAGGGCAGGGGGCTGCGGCTCGGTGCGGGACGGGGACCCCTCGCCTCCCTTCTCAGCCTCGGAGCAGCCCCGTGGCCCACCGGGGTGGGCACGGCCCGCACTGTCATACCCGGTTGCAGTCCTCCAGGAAGCTGGGAAGGTCGCTGTCTGTGGGCTGGAAGCTAATGAGGTCGGAGTGACCCTCCTCCTCCATCAGAAGGAGGCCCTCTGCATCATCGCGCGACACTGGGGGACAGACCTGGCCTCAGCTCGGGCCCAGCCTGCTGGGGCCTTTCCTTGCCCTGCGGATGGCTCACAACCTCCTGCCACCAGACCGCTCCCCCGTCGACTGGCGCCAGATTACCAGAGCCATTTTCCCAGGGAACATCCTTTTCGGGGGCGCTCCAGGGAAGCTCTTTCTAGCTGTAGCTCTAAGCAGGAGCTGCCCACAAGCTTTTGCCCTCACCCTGATTCAGGTCATCGTGCAAGGAGCCCGCGTGGCTGGGGCTGGAGGGGGGGATCTCGGAACCAGGCATGTCCCCATTGGGCGTGAGAGAGATGTGGCAGTTCCAGCCCGTCTCCAGGCCCATCTTCTCTGCAAACACCTGCAGAAGGCAGGAGGCGATGAGCAGATGGGCCCGAGTCCGTGGGACGAGGGCCAGCGGGGCGCAGGCGCGGGGGAGAGCCCTTGCACCTTGCTTTTGAGCTCGTCCTCCAGAGAGAAGTAGACAAAGCGGATGCAGGCGTTGACCAGCCCGTCGATGAGGCGCACAATGTCCAGCCGGGCCTGGTACTGGGAGGACACCATGCCCATGAAGATCTGGCCGCTCAGGGCCTGCATGCAGTCCTCCTTCTCCAGCACCTCCCCGATCCCTTCTTCAGTAGGCACAAGGCACAAAGGCGGGCCGGGACACGACCCAGCCGGGACGCCCGGGAACCAGCAGATTCCAGAAGGCAGCCGGGGCCACACACAGCGAGCACGCAGCCCCGGGGGCCACATGAGGCCAAGACACACAAGGGAGTCAACAGACACGGGAGGAGAGACAATGAAAGGCACTCGTCAGTCAGGCATCAGGCGCCGTCTGAGGCGAGGGACAGAGCCTGACTCCGTCCAGGGCAAGCGGCTGGCCCCACCCACAGCATCGCCCTCAGTCCTCAGGTCCTAAGGCCCCCAGGAAGCTGGGTGTTTCGTGACAGGGGCCGGGGTGTGGAGCTCTGAGTCCCCAGCCCATGGGGGCTTCTGGTCTTCTGTTCAATCCAAGTAAGGCCAGAAAGCTGTAAACGCGGCTGCTTTATGGCTCTCAGAAAGCGCTGCTCTCCACACCACGCCGGAGCAGGCACACCAGGCCCTGGCTCTGGCGAGAAGCCTGAGGGGTCGGCTCTGCCGTCCAGGCCTGGGGTTGTGCCCACCGCCCCCCACCCCCGCTGCAATCCGCTTGGATCCAGTGCAGCCCCGCCGTCCCCCCGCGGCCCCTGCTGTACCATCGGAGCTCCAGCTGTTGCGGCGGGTGCCCAGCTTGAGCGGGATGGTGCTGGGCAGCTCGCACAGGGTGAAGATGCTGCTCTGGCCGGGGGCCTGCACCAGCTCGATGCACTTGCCGTTGAGCTGCGAGGACAGGGCGCAGCTCATGGGCTTGTAGGCGAAGGCGGAGCAGTAACCGGAGAGGCAGGCTCGCTGGTAGAAATCCAGCACTTTCTTTCTGCCAGGGACACGGGAAAGTGAGACGAGCAGACCTGGAGGTCCCCACGCCCAGGGCGCGCTCCGGGGCTGACTGCTCTTGCACCAGCACGTGCGTCCTCACCCACCTGTCGGAACCCGAGAGAGGGTAGATGTCAGCTCCGTCCCAGAAGTCTGTGCAGGCCTCCAAGACCACGTCGGCCGTGCCGTGGGACAGCATCTGTTCTGTGCCTGAGGGAGAGGGGAGGCCAAACCCTGAGTGCACCAGGCCACCCCAGCGCTGCCCCTTGCTCCGACCTCACAGCTGACAGGAGGCCGCCTTGAGAAGGGTGCCACGGCGGGGCACTCCCCCGGGCTCTCGGGGTGCGCATGGGTGGGCCCCAGCCCACGTGCTGTGGCCGCCCACCTCCCCGCGTCGGTCACCACGGCCTGTCCCTGCCACACGAGGTCTGGCGCTCACTGGCCCAGCCGTCCCTAAAAAGAGACAGGAAAGACAGAGCCCCCCACCCCCACCCCCAGGCTCCTGGCCGGCCGGGGGGGGGGGGCGCGGGGACTCACTGGTGGTGGTGTCCTTGATAAAGAGGCTGATCATATGGCTGAGGGGCGGGCGCCGCTTGGTGACACAGGACAGCCTCCCCAGGGGCGTCTCCTTCACGGTCTCGGCACTGGGCAGGCGGTAGAGAGCCAGGTGGTTCTCCTGTTTGAAGAGCTCTTTGGCTCCTGGTGTGAAGCCTGCGGGGACAGGAACCCAGGCCTGTGGGGGCGCTCACAGCCCCTACACCTCCTTCCCCGGCATGGAAGGAGACCCGGTTGGTCCAGCTGTACCTGAAACCGAGGCCATGTTGCCCCGGAGCCCTGCGCAACCGAGCTGACTCCTGCTGCCCGTTTTTAGGCAGAGTGGAGCCTGCCGCCTGTGCTGCAGGCCTGGAGTGTGCAGAGCGATGGGCCAAGACCCCAGGCCAGCAGGAGCTAAGGGGCAGCTGATAAAGGGGTGGGGGGCTGGGATTGCAACTGGAAGCGAAGCGTCTGGAACAGGAATCCCAAGAGCCCGGTCTCGCCAAACTGCCCCTTGCACTTCACGTGAGCGCGTCTCACGACTAGCGGCCAGGCTCACAGCTCCTTCACCCCGACCTTTGTGGTTCTACCTAGCTCACGCCTGCGCAGGTCAGAGAGGCGGGTGGGAGGCTCGCCCCCGCCGCGCTGACAGCTGGCCTGGGCAGGCGTTCTGGGCTCAAAGCCGCGCACCGCTGGCCCCAGTGGGCCGGCAGCCGGGCCTTCTCAGCCCCTGAGCAGCTCCATTCTGGCGGCGGGAAGCAGCACCTAGCAGCAGCGCCCGTGCGACGGGCCGGCCAGGAGCTGAGGCCTGGCTGCAGGGCCGGGGCCGCCTACCGATGAGCCGGGCGAGCTCGCAGAGGCCCCAGGGCACATGCGCGGGCAGCACGGCGCTGTGGCTCTCCTGCAGGGCGATGTTGCACAGGTGGTCGGAGAACCGGCACAGCCGCTCGGTGACGCTGGCGTTACACAGGTTCAGCAGCACGTTGAGGCCCAGGGGCTTGAGGGAGGTGAGGTGGAGCTGCCAGTTGGAGTCATCGAACTGGATGCAGGAGGGGTTCTGCTGGTCCTGCGACAGGCTGAGCATCTCCAGGTGGTAGTCGCACACGAAGTCCTCGGCCTCGCAGGGCGCGCCCTCCAGCTGGGTCTGCGGAGCAAGGGGCGTGGGGGTGCGGGCCGGGGCGCGCCCCTCCCAGCAGCACGAGCTCCTGCCGTCTCGACCAGCCCCGAAACCCTCTGCCTGTCTTCCTGGGCTCCTGGAGACGTCTAGCATGCAACCGGTGGCTGCTGGCAACATCTAAGAGCAGGGGTGGCTAGACCGAGGAGCGGGCCATGGAGCTGCTTCGGCCCGGGGACCATCTGAGACAAGGCCCCTGCTTTCCATCCTCAGGGGGAAAAAGTCTGTCCCAGCCACTTCCCCTGGGGGAGCGGGGAGGGGAAGCAGCAACCACTTCAGGAAGAGTCGCTGGAGACTGGGCTTTACCCCTCAGGCTAGGGGCCCCCCAGGCCCCCCAGCAGTGGAGTGGCCCGCTCCTCTCTCCTCACCTTTCTGGGCTCGTCGTCCCCGCCCTCGATGTCCCGGCTGAAGCTCACGCTGGAGCCAGAGGGGTGTTTGCTGCGGCAGTGGGCTTTGTGGTGGGAGTAGGGCTCGGGGGGCTTGGGGGCTTCGCTAGGCCAGTCGCCTCGCTCCTGCTCGCTGGAGAGATGCAGGGTCGTGTTCAGGGAGCCCATGAGAAGGGCGTCTCGTTCGTGGGGCTGAGGAAAACAAAAAGCACAGGCCTCAGACCTGGGTCCCATCACGGCAGCCAGCGCTGTCCCCTCAAGGCCTGGCCGGGCCGGCGGCCTCCCCGCTGCTCAGAAGCAGGCCCTGGGGTGCCCGTCCTTCTGCCCGCCTTACCCTCCCTGAGGCCACCGGCCAGGTGCCAACAGCTGAATGGCCTGGCCTGGCCGTACCTCCTCCACTACCTCAGGGTGGCAGAAGGAGCGGGTGGACAGGTCATCCGTGAGGTCCTCGTGGCTGCTATGTGGCGGCTCCACCTTCCCACTGAAGAACAGCACGGTCTCTGGGCTGGGGTTCGGCCACGACAGGACGCCCTGCTTGTCCACGCAGCACAGGACCTGCAGGAGAGCGGTGGGGTTGGCCAGGGCTCCACACCCCAAGCCGCGGAGGCAGGGCCCAGGCTCGGGGCCGCCCTCACCGTGACAGAGCCCAAGCTGTGCAGCAGGCTGGAGCTGCGGCTCAGCGTCGGCGACGTGCCCTGGATCACCCTGAGGAAGTGGCCCCAAACGCAGCGCAGCATCTCCTGCGGGGAGAATCCCGCAAGGCGGGTCCAGCTTCAGTCCACCTGGAAGTGGTTTCTCAGGCCAGTAGGCCACCAGGATTTGGGGGAGAATAGGAACCACAGGAAGGGCAGGTACCCACACATTGCCCACGTGAGGCGGGTGGCTGGGGGCTCTGAGAGCCTGACTGGAGGGTCAGGGGGTGCAGGGGAGCTCCGGTCTGAAAGGGGCCTGCGGGAGCCGGGGCAGAGCCTGCCAGGCGGGAGTACCTGCGTGGAGACCGCCTCTGTGTAGCTGCTGAGCGTGTCCTCTGAGAACTTGGCCAGCTGCATGGACAGAGGTGTGGCCTCAGGGGGAGGCGGCCCGTGCCTGGGCCTCTAACCCGCAGGGCTGCCAGCGCCTTTGATGAGGAACCCCACCGAGTGTGGGCCTGGGCCGGTGCTCCCCACCTGCGGGCCCCCCGGAGGCCCTTGAGGATGACAAGGGCCGGAGCCCTCAGAGGGGCCTGCCGCGCACAGGCCCTCGGGCCGGACCGGACACCGCCCCGCTCAGCAGGGTCCGGCTGCCCTTCTTTGTCCCAGATGCCTTGGAACAACTTACCAGGGAGCTGGGAGCGGCCTCACTCATCTGGGCCAGGACCCGGGCTTCTCCGCAGGCGGTTGCCAAAACCCAGAGGACTGGGAAGAGCAGGGGGAGGATGGGCAGGACGCCGTTCACCTGGGAAAAGGGGACCACAGCAGCTCCCCAAGCTGCCAGCCCGGGGGTGTTGGGGGTGGGGGCGAAGGGCTCTGCGGCCCAGCGGCCATTTCCTGAGGAGAAAGAGATGGCAGCTGGTGGGGCAGGAAGGGCAGCGGGCACTCTGCGGCTGAAGCCTGAGGGACCAAGCTCCGGCTGGAGCAGGAGGGCCGCTGGGGCCCCAGGAAGGGACGTAGCCCGGAGGGAAGGAGAAGGCAGAGGGAGGGCGGGTACCTGCAGCTGGAGCAGGGTGTACTGCCAGGAGGTGACTCCAGGGGCGTCCAGCATGAAGCGCAGGGCGTTGGTGGTGAGGAAGCCAGCCTGGTGGGACAGGGAGCTGCAGCCTCAGCCCGCGGCTCGGGCTCCCCTTGCTCGGCCACGCACACGCCCCGCGCTAGGGGGCTGCTCTGGGCCCGTCCTTGCCAGCTCGCCCACGGCCGGGGGCCCCACCGGCCTCCCTCCCCTCCCTGCCCCGCGTACCAGCACCACGGGCACGGCGTAGTGCAGCATCGCCCACTGCACCGTGAACCTCTCGTTGTCCAGAGCAGTGACCGGGCGGGACAGGGCCATGTCCAGACACCATCTGCAGGGAGAGGGGGCCCTCAGCTCTGCTCAGGGAGGGGCCGGAACCCCCCTTCACGAGCAACACTGGGTCCTCCTGTGCCCTGGCGCCCAGGAGAGGAGCTGCAGCGGCCCCCGAGCTGCACCCCCAGAGTTCTGTGTGGAGGCAGCCAAGACCCTGCTCAAGGCCAGGCCACACCCTACCTGACATTGTCAATCACTGGGGTCTCAAGGACGCGGAAGAGCCGGTGCTGCTGAGGGTTCTGTGGCCCTTTCTTCACCTCTCCCCGGGGCGAGGGGGGTGGGGAGAAAGGGGGGAACAGGTCTCCAGGCTCCAAGACGATGTGCTCATCATCCTGCCAGCCATGAAGGGGGATCAGAAACCACTCTCCCTTGACAGCCCCGGCTAAGGGGGGCATCTCACTGCCCTGGGGATCACCAGTTGGCATGACCAAGTTGGGGTGGGGCACGTGGGGCTCCTAGCAGCTTGGGGATCATAGAGAAGTAAGAAGGAGAAGGAGAAAGACGTTCCAGCTCTTGTCCTCCCGCTGGCCAAGGAGCCTAGGAGCTGGCCAGGAAGCTCAGGGTTAGGCCCGGGGCCCCTCGCCTTGGCGTGGCTGTTCCCACAGCGCTTCCAGGGAAAAGGGAAAGTCTCACGCTACCTTGATCCCCCTCAGAGAGGCAAACGATTCCTGGCCGGGCCTCAGAGCGATGATGTCTCCTTCCACCAACAGGCTAACCGGCAGGTTGACCAGATGTCCGTCTCTGTAGGCCCAGTGCAGGGACCAGGATGGTGCAAAGGGCATGTGGAGGTCTGGGTACAAGGCGTTTGGCCACTTGATCTCCTTGCCATCCTTGAGGGCATCTGACGAGACAGGAAAGCGGAGGGCAGCCCCGCCGTGCTGTGTACACAGCCAGGCCCGGCGCACACCTGTGACACGGCTGCGTTCCTTCCTGCCCCAGAGACCTGTGCTGGCCCACGTGCTCGCCCCGACACCTTCCCCGCTGCTGAGGCTGCCTCCCCCTACACCTTTCCAGCCTGGCACTTCCACCTCCTTGTACTCCAATTCCACTCAAATGCATTGCACAGACATGGCTGAGTCTCATGACAGGTACGAAGGTCAAAAGTGAAGCCGACCTCCTTCCTGCCCTCACTGGGCCACAGTCTGGGGGGGAGGTGCGACCTGGGGCAGTTAAGCCCAAACCAGGCAAGCCCCTGTGGAGAGCTGGGAGAGGCCCCGGAGCCGCAGCACAGACTCGAGGTGAGGGTCAGCAGAGACGCGCTGGGGACGGACACTAACAGAGGCCAGGAGGAACAGCCGAGAACTGTCAGCTGAGGGAGGGAGAAGCCCGTCCGGTTGGGGGCTGGCCGGGTGCAGGCGCTGAAGCGGGAAGCCTGCAACAGAGCAACCTGAAGGTGGTGAGTCGTCATAAGGTGAAGATGAGCGGGGCAGAGGAGATCAGAGCCAGTGTCAGGGGGTTGTGGAGACCACGAACCCAGCATGGCCCTGATAAGCGAGAGGGAGCCACTGATGGTCCCTAGTGAGGCTCCAGAGAGCAGGGCCGTCTTCCTCGGGGAGCATTCAGGCCCCGCTGCCCGGGGAACACTGCAGGAGCCAGGGTGCTTCCCTTCCAAGACCACCTGCCGCCCGGGAAGCAGGAACCAGTCTCTCAGGGGCCGAAGGTGACCTCCAGACACAGCCGGGACTCGATAAACGCTGGCTGGCCGAGTGCATCTGTCAGAGCTGGAGTCCACCTTGGGACACCCTGCCCATCCCCCCACCAATTCTGGCTGCTTTCAGGCTCCTCTGGCCTCTTCCCGCCTCCTGGGACTGTCCACTCGACAAGACAGACTCACATAGGAAATCTCAGCTGCCCCCTGCTATGGGTCTTCTCTTAGTACCACAGTGTCTGCCAGCCATTAGCCTTCCTGACCCCAGGTCACTGCCTGGGCGCCCACAACGTGGTCCTGGGGCCCTCAGTGTCTTACTCACAAGAGATGAGGCAGCCTCTTTTCATGGCAAGAGGCCCTCGAATGCTGACCACCGGCAAGGCCAGGTCTGAGGGTCCTGATGGGGGCTCGGGAGGGAAACTCAGGGGGTGCTGCTGTTCCTGGGGCGTCTTTCCCGCCCGACGGGCCTGGACCTCAGCCTCACCTTGGATTTGGTCAATGATCCCGCGGAGCCTCCGCTCTACCTCCCGACGCTTCAGCCGCTCTTGCCGCCCAATGAGGACAAGGTTGAGAAGCAGCAAGAGGAACAGAGCCGCGGCGTTCACCAGCTCCACCCCGTGGCTGGCCAGGAGAGGAGGGGCCGGCAGCTGTGAGGGCCAGGGCCCGAGGCACCCACCGTCCCTCCTGCAAGATCTAGGCCTGCCGTCCCACTCCCCCAACGCCCCCCCGGGGTGGCAGAGACCTCTGCCGGGGTGGGGCCGGCGGTTGGCGAGGCCAGGCGCCTACCTGCCGGCCGGCTGGCCCCCCCAGCAGCCCAGCAGCAGCAGCACGGCCAGCAGCATGAGCGAGGCGCCCGGCCAGTGGAAGCAGGAGCGGCGGTTACTGTGGTGCAGGAAGCTGTTCCTCCACATCTCCTAGGAAGCCGGGGCGGGCGCCGGGCCGTGAGGGGCCGTGAGGGCCCCCCAGGGGCACCTGGCCCTGCCCCACAGCCACTCCACCCGGCCCAGGGTGGGCGCTTCCTGCTCTGATCTCAGCTGGGGTGCAGCCTGTTGGGTCAGAACACCCCACCAAAAGGGAACCCCAGCCTGCGGATGGGCTCCCAGGTTTCTCTGCCCCCCCCCCAGACCTTTACCTTCCAAGTAAGACATTTCTTCCGCTCCCTCAGGCGCTCTTCCAGTACCGCCTCCAGCTGCTCCTTCAGGACGCTGAGGGCCTTCCGGGTGGACAGGCCCAGGGCCACGGCGGGCTCGCCCTGGAGGAGGCGGGGAGGCACTCAGCCGAGACAAAGTCCCCAGGACCGAGCCGTCCTCTCCCCCACCCTCCTCCAGAACCCACACCTTATTCTCTGTCCCTAGGGGAGCGGCCAAATTACCACCCAGTTACAGGACATCCAAGCACTCAGTCCCCGCCTCTTCAAGGCCAAATTTAAAATGAGACAACTTTCTACAGTCAGACTGCTGACCTCGGTGCCCCTCGCCAGCCCTGGAGGTCAGGACCTGCCAGCCCACACGCGCACACACATCCTTTAAATATATAAATTTTAGGGGAAAAACTTCCAAGTATGGAGAGGAGGACCGGGCAGAAGCGCTAGCTGCCCGATCCCGCGAGGGACAGCGAGGCCTGGGTGGCCCTCATGAAGGGGAAGCCGCAGAGCCCCGGGCCGGGAGGGCAATGGCGGCAGACAGCTGCCCCCAGGAAAGGCCTGTGCGCCCACACCCCTGCTCGTCTCCCTGGGCGACAGGGTGGTTCCTGGCAACACCAGGACCTTCGTGACCCCCGCCGGACCCCGGCTCCTTGACCCTGCTTTGTCCTGCCATCACCCCCCCCCCGGCCCATACCGCCACACACACAGGCCACCTTCGGTTTCTTCACGTTAGGCATGTTTCCAGAGCCACGTCAGCCCGCCACGTCGGCCACAGCAGTGACGAGCTCGCGCCTCCGGGTCCGGCCACAGCCCCGGGACTCTGACCATTGACTAAACTGCCTCACGGCTGTTTACAGGCATCCAAACCCCAAAACCACCTGGGCGCCCTCGCCAGCATCTACAGCCCCC